TGTCTCAGGCAGGGGCTACATGCGGATACAGCTTCCGATATGAAACTTTCGTATCACAGGAGACTAGCATGGGGCTGCACAGCAATGAACTTCTCAAGCCCAGACATTACATCTGCCCTAACGTGAAGGTTTAGGTGCAATTTAGGTGCATTTTAGATAGGGAGATAAGGTCTGGAGTCAGCTTGGGCCTCTGATCCTTGTGTCAGTGGCAAGTAATCCTGTCCTGAGAAATCCAACACGTACATTCCAGAGACATGGAGACGAAGCAAGAGACTGAAGATACACACGCAACAAACAACAGCTATGAAGAGACACTTACATTTTCAATGCTCCAGTACTGCCCGCATCGGCATCCTGTGTGAGAGGGAATCAGACCAATCAGCTACTGATACAGTCACACAAACAACAGTAATGATAATGTACCAGAACCTCCGCTCGGGGGATCAGCACAGCCCCAGTGACTCCAATGGAGTGACAACCAATTCTCCCCAGGTGTGGATCTGGTCCCATCGAATTGGAGCTACAGCCCATTTACATCAGCTGGGGACCTGGTCCCAAATTTCCTGCTTCCGTAAAAAATGACCTTGTGACTCAATATTCTAAACCAGATTTCTGGTCAGTCTGAAAGGCGATCAGTGCAGAACCAGACTGGAGGGACACAGTTGGCTTTAAGCAGCCTTTACCCATCCCTTGTACCAAGGCTGCCAGACCCTGCCCCAACCTTACTCTAATTTAATACCAGTTCCTACAGACTCGGGGTACCTTTTGGTCCAGCAAAGTTCAGCTGGACTTGGCTGTGTTCCAGTCATGCCCCGTTTTCCCCAGCCATATCTCCACCCGGAGGCTTGGAAAAGAAGATTGTCTCTGTATGTATACACCACTAAGGCAAGCACACCTGGTATTATGATAGTGGGGTGTTTAAAAGCATCCAGAAAAATACTGATATAAAGTTTTTCTGACACTTACTCCACAGTGTATCTGCCGTGGCAGTGTTTTTCCAATTCCTCACATCAAAGAGAAGGTCGCTCGGCATGGTCGGAAGGTAGCTCGCCTGGTAAACAAACCACAGTTGGACACCTTTACTACAGCACCGGGGCAGAGCGGAAGGAAGGGCTTGTGCATAGAACATTGGATGGGGATTTGGGAGATACAGGTTTGGTTCCTGGCAACTTCCAGACTAAGCTCAGAACCTCATTGCACCAAGTGCTGCACAGACACACAGTTACTGAAATCAGGGCCCCATCATGTCCCCATCAGAGTCCTGCACTTAGGAAGGAAGAATCCCATGCACCACTACAGGCTGGGGACCAACTGGCTAAGCAGCAGTTCTGCAGAAAAAGACCTGGGGATTACAGTGGACGAGAAGCTGGATATGAGTCTGCAGTGTGCCGCTGTTGCCAAGAAAGCCAATGGCATATTGGGCTGTATTAGTAGGAGCATTGCCAGCAGATTGAGGGAAGTGATTATTCCCCGCTATTCAGCACTGGTGAGGCCACACCTGGAGTATTGCGTCCAGTTTTGCCTCCCCCCCACTACAGAAAGGATGTGGACAAATTGGAGAGAGTCCAGCGGAGGGCAACGAAAACAGTTAGGGGGCTGGGACACATGACTTAACGAGGAGAGGCTGAGGGAACTGGGCTTGTTTACTCTGCAGAAGAGAAGAGTGAACGAGGGGTTTGATAGCAGCCTTCAACTACCTGAAGGGGGGTTCCAAAGAGGATGGAGCTTGGCTGTTCTCAGTGGAGGCAGATGACAGAACAAGGAGCAATGGTCTCAAGTTGCAGTGGGGGAGGTCTACATTGGATATTAGGAAACACTATTTCACTGGGAGGGTGGTGAAGCACTGGAATAGGTTACCTAGGGAGGTGGTGGAATCTCCTTCCTTAGAGGTTTTTAAGGCCCGGCTTGACAAAGCCCTGGGTGGGATGATTTAGTTGGGGTTGGTCCTGCTTTGAGCAGGGGATTGGACTAGATGACCTCCTGAGGTCTCTTCCTACCCTAATCTTCTATGATTCTATGCCAGGCACTGCTCGGACACACAGCGACTGAGATCAGGGTTCCGTCGGGCTGGGCACTGCTCGGACACACAGCGACCAAGATTGGGATCCTGTTGTGCCCAGCACCATACAGACATATAATGAGACAATCCCTGCCCCAACGAGTTACAATATAAATAGACAAGAGGTGGGAGGAGAAACTAAGAAGGAGAAAGGTTCAGTGATTTGCCCAAGTCACCCAGGGGGTGTGGGGAACAGAACAAAGGACACCTCTGCATTA